ACTGTTATGTCACAGCTAGAGGTTTCCTGTGGTTTCACCCACGTTAATTTGAGGAAAAAGGTTATAGTGACTAGCCACATTAAACGCACCCGGATATTAATTCTTATCCAAATAAATCACTTCTTATTCAAGACTATATATAATTCCTTAAAATTACTTTTTGGATTAGACCATTTCCAAGTTTGATTCAGTTCAAAAGTTATCATGAGTGCAATAATTATGAGCTAAATTATGGATGGACCAATGATATGGGAAACAAACTTTTTTAACAGCAAAGCATTGGTGTTTTCTTTACAACGGGTCCAAAACTAGGCAACAAAATATTTACCGCATAATAATTTATCATGGAAGGTTTATAAATTTAAGAAGAAAGTAGTCTACACTACAACTCTACACCGAAGCGAAGCCTGGGCGAACTCATGACTACATGATTTGGGAAATTGAATTTCTTTAAACAGTGTTAGTCACATAACCCCATTAGGTTTAAAAGTGCGTTAAAAGCATTCTTAGATATGACAACTCTCCAAGTCGGTCAGGGTACAAACATTTTTACTTGGCCTCGCCCAGCACACGCATCTGATATTTATTTTTATGAACGTAAATGAAATAATGGAAACTAAAGCTTACGTGACCAAATAATGCTAAAATCACAAACGAAATTCTCGATACAGTGGTAAAATCCTTGCAAGGGTAAAGAAAAAGCTGACCTACATAAATACAAAAAGCAATAGTAGTAGTTATATCAATTAAAGATACAGTCTCCCTTTAGACAAATTCTCTACAATGATTGTTAATCCTGAATCCAATCCCCTAAATACTGGAACTGGAAAACGTGTCTGTTTGTGAGTAAGATTCCAGGACCTATCCCAAATCATTTTTGTTTGTCATACAGCACAATAGAGAATGCAGTAAAAACGAAATCTTTATGTTAACTAATTACCCTGGAATATTTTTAAGAGGTGAGGTCATGACCTCACCATAGGGCGTTGTCAAAACAGTTTTTTGAAGTTAAACTTCTTTAGGCGCGTTATGAAAAAATGATGAGAGTGAAATTTTAAGATGCGCGCGCATCACTGTAACACAAAATTTTAACAGCATGAAGTTGGTCGCTTTAGCGACCAACTTCATGCTGTTACTTTTGTGTTTACCGCACATTAAGAAAATCTACCAACAAAATATAAATAGAATCTCTATTTGTGGGTGCTAACGACTGCATTGTGAAGGCCTATCAAAAAGTATTTATTAATCTGGAACAACGGAACCAAAGCGCGATTCAGGAGACTACAGTGCCATCTCTTGACCATTGGTGTAGTAGAACCAAAAACCACATCTTTATTTTTTGTAATAAAGTAACAGTTATAGGTATTCATATTTATAATATTTATCCACATGTTTCTAGTTTGTATATTCGGAATACGTGTTTGAGTTTCATACAAGTGCAAATCACATATGTTCTAATAAATTATATTCAGTAGCGATTTTAATTGAATATTTTGATTATTTATTTATTTTTTCAAATTAAAACTGAACTTTATTGACTGTGTCCTTTTCTAGACTTTTTATTAATTTATTGTAATTAATTATTTGCATGCAATTAAAAAGTAATTTTAAACGATGCCAAAGAAGGATAACTTCTCACGCGCCTACATAAGTACACGCACCCATTTTTTTGTAATACATTGAAACCTGGTGAATTGGGATCTCAAGGGACCAAGGATTTTGTACCATTTTAAGCGGTTTTCATTTATCCAGTTTTCCAATTAGACAGGTTTAAAATTTAGTTGTCTCATTTATAAAGCTTATAGAGGTCGAAATGTACCGTTATCCCATTTATAAAGATGAAAACGATAATAAAAATGCGTATTTTGGTGTTATAACTTAAGTGTAGATATGTATTTATTATAAAAAAACAATACAATACAGTAAAGATTATGACTAAAAGTAATCGGTTATATTTGTTTGTATTTTCAAAATACAAGATAGTACTAACAAACAAAGCACGTGCGAAAGAAATTCAAATGTTTGTAAACAATCGTATCGAAACCTGTCCCAACCTGAAAAGTAAATTGTTTCACTTATAAAGGGAATTGAGCTACAGAGTCCCAATTATAGAGGAAAACATCGAAAAAATCCTAGAAATCAAATCTCATTTAACCAGGTTCGAAAAGTCCCATTAACAGAGGTAATTCGATGAAAATGTGCTGGGACCTCATTGTAGTTCTCAATAATAGAGGTTTCTGACTTATCAAGATCCCACTTAACCAAGTTTCGCTGTATTTACGTTTCTGACGCATACCAGCTAACTTTCCCGTTCAAATAATAAAAGTATATTGACTTTCAGGGTCTTTTAAAGTATTTAACAATGGGACACTACCTACTTCTTCTGTAACTTTTAAAGAATCAATGCTTATAGCATCATGCATGTGGGACCCATATTTAAGTCCAGGATTTGAGGCCTGTGCTAATTGCAGATTTTATTTCTGCATCAAAAATGTTGTTTTACTTTATTAGTTCTCAATTTTAATTAGATAAAATGTCTGTTTGTCAGCAGCTGTCAGCACCTAAGTACTTTTCTCGTCTCAGTGAACAAAAACCATTTACCAACATACATTTCATCTGGTTCGATACTCTCGTAAACGAATTGCTGATGTGTTGTGAACCATACAAATTAACGTTACGAGACGTATCGGCGCTGCCATTACACAGATCGCCGATTCATCGTCTGACCGTTACGAAAACCGCTCCACAGCCGATTTAATATGACCTGGGGGCTTATTCTCTATTTTGTGCCTATGTGCCTCACTTCGGATGACTTCAAAATGTTCTCACAACCCAATTTTATTGAAATGCACATTGGGTGGGTATTAAGGGCTATACACGTTGCGTAATATTATATTTACCAATAATTCAGATCTTAAAGATGATAGCGATCACGACAACTTTACAGGGTACAAATCAAATGTTTTCACATTTGATTAGATTATAGATGATAGCAATGAAAACATTAAAATTTGGGTAACATTACTTCTAGTAGGAACATTGTCTGCACTGCCAAATTTAACATTGGGTTCATATATAATACCATACATAAATTTACCGCCATTTATTTATAGATATGAACATCTAAGCAGTTAATCATGAAAATATGTTATATTAGGTACTATTAATATCAATCATGAACTGAAGAAGGGATTCTTCCCCATAGTTCATTATCTAATGAATTATCCCCGTCGATCCAGTCGGAGACAATTCATCAGCTCTTGCTACGGTCAAGACCTCTTTTTTATTGTCTGTGATCGAGACCTATTTCTTTAGTTTTTTCTTAATGCATCATAACTGCATCATATCCGTTGTTTACTGTTAGACTTCACATAACCATCTTTTGAGACCTTGATAATTTATTCGATGACTCTTGCTAAGCTGCTTCCACTTCCAGACTATTTCACTAAATTTTTTCAATCACCTGTTTTTTCTTGCTGTATAAGCCATTGCGAAATAAGATAACATAAATAAATATACATAATGCAGTCATTCATTCAAATGAGCCGCATTATCATCAATCATGTCTGCTCTCGTAACGTTTACATCTGTCATATTTTTATCTTCGACCAAAGGTTGTCTGCCTCCGGTCAAACAGCATGTAAAGCCATTTTGACTTTTTAATTAAGCTCTGACTGAGTAGCTTTGCGTGTTGTGGCAGTCATTTGTTAAACATAATTGATGCCTGCGGAGCGATTTGGATACTAATTTGTTCGAGCTGTTATCTAATACATAGTATGAATAATATTTGCTATGATACCTCAGTAGTCCTACATCGACCCCAAGGTTTGCCGTTGATGTGATAGCTAAGAAAATTACGATTATATGGGATGTATTTTGATTGAGATTTCATAATGGGAATATTATGTTAAACTAGCGGCCTGCCCTCGCTTCGCTTCGGTGTAGAGCTGAAGTGTAGACTATAGTTTTTGTTCTCAGGCTTGTATTATACACAATAACATTCACCTATGATTCTTCTTATACCTGCATGCAAAGTCTCATCCCGATCGGTTTAAAATTGTCAAAGTTTCATACAAACTTTCATTCCCTATTTTATCCCCTTGGGGTAGAATTGATCAAAATTATTTCGTAGCGGATGTCTACGTCATAACATCTACCTGCATGCCAAATTTCAGCCCGATCCGTCCAGTGGTTTGGGCTGTGCGTTGATAGATCACTTTGTCAGTCAGTCACCTTTGAGTTTTATATATATAGATGTGTGTGGACTGAGATAGTTAATATGTTGAAAACTTTGTCGTAACGAAATAATCGTAAACAGCGTAATTTATGCAAGACTAGCTGACCCAGCGAACTTCGTCCCGCTATAAAATTAGGGGTTGGCGGTAGAAGGTTGAAAATTTAGGTTTTTTATGTAATAATGAGTGATGTGCGTGAAAACCTAAGACACAAATATGTTTTTTATGTATTTTTTTTAATGCCACAATACAAAAAATAAATAATAGCAATTTAGTGCAAAAAATAACAATAAAATGTCAGTTGTGGACAACCCTTATCACTTAGGAGTATGAAAAATAAGATAGTAGCCGATTTTCAAACCTACTAAATATGCCTATAAAATTTCATAAAAATTGATTAAGCCGTTTCGGAGGAGTAAGGTAACTAACATTGTGACACGAGAATTTTATATATAAGACTAGCGCCACATCCCGGCTTCACACGGATGTAATAAATACTGTGAAAACATAATGAACATATTGACAATAAAACTTTATATTAGTGAAATAATTTATAAAACGTACAAGTAGTATAAGAAAAACAGAGTTACAACAAATATTTTGAACAAACTAAAGAGAAAGTTATTTCCGTACCTGTCGTAACAAGAGTCGAAATCGACAACTACGTATAAAAGACTGGAATCCCTATATAATGAGCAATAAAGCCCAACTTATAAGAAGAAAAGGTCAACACTCAAGACACACCAAATAAAAATCATAAAATACCTGATCGACTCGCAGTTTCCTGCCTGTTTCATTGGCTCCACCCTCCATCCTTTGCGTCTGTAACAAATAAAAATTAACTTCAATGCGAGTGCAAATAAGACTATAGAACACAATAGTGGACACTGAATCATCTTCAAAACTTAACGTTTGCACAACAAGAACTTAAAACCTATATTATTTGGTGCAGCTAGCACCTTAAATTAATAATAATATTGGGTCCGATTCCGGTATGATTCTCTTAAGAGGCATATTGCATCTCGACTGTGATTTTTGCGTAAATTGGCGCTCTTGATTTCAGAAACAAAGATACATTAACAATTTTGACTTATTGAATAGTGCAGAATAACTATTGGGCTAGTTCGTAGCGGCCTCACTTTTTGTAAATTTTGCTTAACTTTTTAATTAAACCCAAAATTGCAGAGGAAAATTTTCATAAAATGCGCGAAGGCACTTTTTTGAGCTCCTGGATTGAACTACTGTTCTAAGCAAAATAAATAATAAAATAAGAATGTTATCTCCTACGTTGTCGTATAGTTCGTAGCAGCCTTAGAATTTTGAAATATCTTTGATTTAATATAGAAAAAAACATATTCTAAACCTAAAAAACTAAACTAAATTTGACAACAGTCTCTCCTTTTTCGTTTTTTGTAAAGCATGTCAAGTATATACTGTTTCAAATTTAATTGTAGTTTTACAGAATCATGTAGAATCTGAACCACTTACTTGGTAAAGTTATATACAAGGGAACGGCAATGAAAGAAGAAAATGAAAAAAAGCTTACCATAATTTAATTCGTATTTAAATTTGTTTAAACCGACTACTTAAATAACAATAAGATTAGCTGAAATATTGGTGTTTGTGGTCTTAACATTGAACTGCATTATAAATGTACTAGCGGCCACCCGCGACTTCGTACGTGTGGAGTTAGTTAGAAATAAAGGTTCACTGCTCGTACCCCGTAGGTGATACTGTGATAATATGTAGCCTATATGTTGACCCGACTTCTTAATAATATTCGTGCCAAATATTGAAGCAAATCCATGCAGTACTTTTTGAGTTTATCCCGGACATACATACAGACACACAGAAAACAGCCAAAAATTCTAAAAACTATATTTTTGGCTTCGGTATCGATTGTAGATCAATTCAATGTACAGTTTTGACTTTCCTACCATTTTATTATATGTATAGATAGATCCAGATCGTTCCCGGATCGTATAACGGGGAATCTAACATAGTCACCGCGTTCTAGAAGTGAAATAGTCTAATGACCCCACAGTGTATCAACTACCCGGTACAGTTAGAGCAAAAAGAAGAACACTTTGAACGCGAGATGTGCAGAAACAGCCGTCAATACGGTGCAGCATCCGCCAACTTCCAAGCTAACCATCCGGTTCTGAGGCTGACTCTAAATGCAACCGTAACGCGAAGTCACAAAGTCCATCTTAACGACTCGATAAATGGTATCGCTGATGTTAATATTGCGATAATTTATAGAAACGAGCGCTCTGTTTTAAGTCTTGTATTGAAAGATTTAAAGATCACATTGAGTGTTTGATTGTGAGGGCGAAGTATGGAAAGCTCGGCGCGGTGAGTAATGAGCCGGTGTCGGGATGTCGCTCATCATATTCATATTCAAGCACAAACCCATTTAAGATGATGTTGATACGTTGGCAGTTACTTGTGTTTGTAAATATGAGATTTTAGTCAAGCAAGCTTTGTCTTTGTTTGTCTTTTTATCCAACTGTTAAAAGGGTGATGAAATGACAATAGATGGTTAAATCTTTAGGGACATGACGCAAGTTTTTAATATGTGCGGTGTATATTCAAGTTTTTTTTGAGATTTATTCATTGATTATAAAAAAAATATTGGTACTTTTCGTTAAACTTTTCCATTAAAAGCGAAATTCAATTTCAAACATTTGCTAAGTTTCTTCTAATTGTCATATATTGTTTTGTGGTTTTATCCACTAAAAGACAAATATTTAATTTTATTAATATTGCATGAAGTAGTTATTTAATTGTAAGTAAAATTAATTACTTATAAAATACAAACTAATAATAATAACTTAATACATAAAAACTTATGGATTAAAAAAAATATATACAGGAACAATGAACCTAAAACTAACTAACTTATTACTACTATTGTCATATTATTTAATTCAACGCTATAATTGGGTTTAAAAATAAAATTAGTAACGTAAGCTATAATTTTATATGAATTACCTATATTAAGAAATGTTAGTTGTGATATAATAAGGGATATTACGGACCCTCATATACATTATAAGCAAAATTTACATATTTCAGTATACGGCCCTTTGGGAAAGTTGAAACTTATCATAAATATATTAAATCTTTAATGTTATCTATCACATAAATATTATTTTCTAGTAAATATAACTAGGTACTATTTTTAAATATATTCAAAATGTAAAAAAGTTCACAATACAAGATAATGTAGAATTACAGGGTACGCTGTATATAAACTGTGTTTCTTTTTACAACCATTTGAGTTTAAGTAAGAACACATGTTGCATAAATTTTACAGATATTGATATTGTGTACCTACTGTATCTCAGAACAAAGGCAAATGAAGTTAATCAAAATTGTGTCGTAAACATCAAATCATCCGTTCAATTATAACCAGTCTTGGCGAGGCCAAAAGGATTTCAAGGGACTCATTCCAAGAAGTTAGATAAGGGTCTTGACAGAAACAAAAAGGCTAACCGTCTAGACTTTACAAAATTATTATTTTTCATAGATCTTTAGCACTAAAGTTTAGGTAATAAAATTATTAAAATGGAAATTTGCCACAGTCGGCTACAGAGCAAATACAAATACTAATAACAAAACAAATTAGAATTCATTCAATGTTTTTGACCTTTAATGTGGAGCTAAGCTCCTGCCAATAAATAAATTTAAAGGCTGCCTTCCACATAAATCGCACCTAAAAATAAAAGTAAAGAAGCCTATTAATTAATTATTTGTTTATATCATCATCATCATCATCATTTCAGCCGAAAGACGTCCACTGTTGGACATAGGCCTCCCCCATGGATTTCCACAACGATCGGTCCCATGCTGCCCGCATCCAGCGGCTTCCCGCGACCTTTACCAGATCGTCGGTCCACCTTGTGGGGGGCCTGCCAACACTGCGTTCCCCGGTACGCGGAAAAGATAGATAAAGATATAGATTTGTTTATATAGATGTAATTAATTTCATCTTTATATATATAATATACTAGCTGACCCAGCGAACTTCGTACCGCCCTAAAAAAATAGGGGTTGTCCAGCGGACAAAATTGTGAATCTAAACCATTCTCAGATCCCCTTGAACACACACAAAAAATTTCATCAAAATCGGTCCAGTCGTTTAAGAGAAGTTCAGTGACATACACACTCACAGAAGAATTATATATATAAAGATATATAAATTAACTATAGTGGCATTCAGTACCTAACTCTTTCAATCTATAAACCAACATAGAAATTTGAATGTAACTCGTCTCTTCTATCTCTCATTTAGTTGCGTGCCCAACAGGGTCCATAATGATCGTACGAGTATTTTGTCATAACTTATATTTAACATCATTTTGTACATTGTGGATATGCAATAAACGAATTGAATTGAATTGAAGCCAAACAAACAAAGATCGCAAAAGAAACATATATCAATCGGATCCTTGTTAAAATACCCCGTATGCAGGAGATGTCACAGGATTCTAAATAAAGTGCATTATGCAAACTCTCTGTGTCGACACTGTGTTACTTGTGAAGTCGTGTAATAAGTATGCGTTAGGCGTACCCGCGTCACCATTCTGTCTGAAGAACAAAGGGGTCTATCCGATTTGGCATAAGGTCGATAGCATCACGTCTTACGAAAACCATTGCTTAGTCATCAAATAGCTTTCCCACCGACCACTGATCCAATCAATATTCTTTGCTTATTATCACACAGTTTGCTTTTATTTGTTTTTAAGAAGATTTTTAATTTTGAATTCAAAAACCATTAATGCTCTAGAATATCATCCAAAATTCTCAAGTATAAAGATTTTGCTCAACGCATTTCCAACTTTTTTATATCTATTTTCTATTCATCTTTCTTCTGTCCCCATATTGTCCACACTTTCAGGAGGAACAGAGATAGGGAAGAAAGGCTTCACCCTGAAGCACGTACTAAAATAATCCTAATAATTATGAAAATCTTTGTTTTATCTTTTAAACATACATTGTAGGAGAACCTTTATAATATTGAAATTCATTTGCAGTAAACACTTCGCAAATAGGCGGCAGGAGGTCAATTTGAATAAAAACGAAGGATATACGTAGCTCCTTACCTATTATCAAATACCCCAGTATATAATATATTTTTAAACTATTTTAGTATTAAATTTCTAAACAACGATGCCAAGTTGGACATTGAAGAGTGAACTGATCGTCTACCATAATTTCTGAAACACTACTCTCTCGATGAAGCTGAATTAGCTTTGAATACGAAAGTTATGAAGTAGCACACTTTGATCATCTCCTAGTCGAACGTGGGAATCCTTTTTTATTCTATAAAAAAAATAACAATATAAAGGAGGTAGAATCAAGCCTATTCTTTTTAATGGACAATTAAGATAAGGTAGAGCTCCAATTCAGAACGGTAAGTGTTTTGCCGTGAAATCGTGGAAACAGTTAAATATCAGATTGTCTCCGGTTGGAAAGTTACGGCCGAAACTAATTGAATGTGTTGCTATCATGCGATCGGTAAAACGATGTTTTTCTTCAAAGTTACTTATATGACCCCCCATACATGAGATCAAGAGGTTATAAAAGATGTGGTAAAGATTAAGTATGCATAACAAATAGACGCGTCATCAATTGTCACCATAATTTTTTAGTAAAAATTACCTGATTTGACTTGATAAATTGCCACAAAAGTCAAAGTTATTAAGATTATGTCCAGGGCTTACAATAATATCCGGGACATTCACTGCTATTAACGTAAAAATCTTCAATCAACTCGCATACCAAATGAGACGTCTTCGTAATTATAAATACTTCAT